TATCGATAAAAATATTTACAGAAGTCGATGTTGAAAATGTAGATATGTATATATTTTTTAAAATTCCGTTGCTATTGTGACATGATGGTTGGTCGTTTCGAGTGAAACCGAAATAGACATCAAGTTAACAATCAATTTTCTTACCCCTCGGTTAATAAATAAACAACAATCGACGAGTACATTGTTACAGAGAAACTAACAGAAATATATATATTATATATAGTAATCTCCAAAGATTCGCTAAAATTTTAATTCTCTACTGTTAAATACCGTAATTTCTCGAAAATAATACGCATTCTTTTTACTGTAAATTACAGGTGATAATAGGGTGCGTATTATAAACAGATTTAAACAAAATAGTTTTTGTTGTTGATTTATATTAATAAATACGTACTTGTTCTAAAATAGGAAAGATATTATCCCAATTTTCATTTTAAATCCAACAATAATAATTGTAACTTTTTTTGTAAATTTTTTTTATCAATAGATTTATGTTTATGTTTATTTCCACGTTACTTATGGAATATCCACTTGATCGTTTTTCTTTCACAAATTCAACTAAACTTTGTTCCATATCTGGATATTGAGCTTTTCTTCCTCTGCCTAGAGCTTTGGCATTTGATTTACACTTCTTTTTTAGTTCATTTTTATTCTTTCTCCATAAACGTATGTTAGCCTCATTGAACTCATATTCTCTGCTGCAGCTCTGTTTCCTATTCTTTCTGATAATTCTATTTTTGTTTTGCAATATAACTCGAACGTTTTGATGACATTTTGGTGGTAAAATAAAATGTTATATTTATCGGGAAAACCGCGATGGTAATTTCCAGCATTATTTTAGTCGCTTAGTTTCGATTTTATTCTTAATGTCAAGGTCGACAAAATGTCTTCGTAATTTTTTTTTTCTACAAAATTCATAGAAGCCTATTATACATAGGGTTAGATATATTTCTTAATTTTTGGATCATTTGTTGGGGTGGGTTTTATTTATGGGTGCGTATTATTTTCGTGAAATTACAGTAATTATAAGTTTTACGTATATTGTTTTTTATTTTCTATGTTCTAAAATTGTCTGATAGCCTTTTTTCTAATGGTTATATCATATTCCTCATGCGTAAGCCTGTTGGGATTTGAAAAATTTTTAAATATTTTTATTTTCGTGTTTTTACAAGTAATTTTTTTTCAGCGTGTATGAGTATTAAAATTCCTTGAGTGTAGTTGTTTGTTAAGATGAAAAGAAATGTTATTTCTTCGTGTGTATGCGTAAGGAAAAGAGGCAGGCAAGAAAGTGAGGTTTGGTTTGGTTTGTTTTACGGCATATCAACCTCAATGGGTTATTTAATGCCGACAAGATTTTTATTGCTGGTAATATTTTTGTTTCAAAAATGTATTGCTGGAAATAATGTATTACGGATAATAATTTTTTTTTAAATTATTTCTGGTATTAAAACCTATTTTTACACTTTCATAGTGTTTTAACCCCAGTTTGGGGGTTAACTATTTGCCTATAGCTGGAACTCTAACAGGTGCTAATACCCCGGATCAGGATGGACCTGGGAACACCAGCAATTAAGAGGTGGTTCCACGCTCCTCAAAACCTCTTGATCCAAGGCCTTGCTATTAGACGTAGTTTATCGTCTTACCCACGACGCGGATGTAGTTTATCGTCATACACAGGACGGAGAAAATGAGGTGGAAAGTTTAAGTGTCACGTAGCTTGGTGTGGAAGACAGGTGAATGAGTAAGGGAATCTCTTTGAAGCCGCCGTCATGAACTGGTGTCGTGTGTATCTGTCTCTGTATCCTTATTGCTTTTGTCCGTCTCGAAACTTCACTTAAATACTCTTCAAATGGATCATAAAGCATGGATTTATTGTCGACAGGGACCCGCTGGTTAAGAAATGTTAAATATTTTTTTTCAAAGGATTAATTTATTAACCGGAAGGATGCGTGAATACCCTGACTCAGAAACCATTTTTTGTCATTTGATGATTGACTGTCTTAGTGTTTATTTCCGTCTTCGCCCCCACAAGTCAATCGAAATTTTAAACCAAAAAAAAAAAATACATTTTCGATGTCTACTTCGTTATTCAGGAAAATCTGAATAACTGGAAGAAAAACCAAACAGAATAAGGTTAAAATCTCCACAACAAAATAAAAATTTAATCTTGAAGATGAATCAGAAAACATTTTGCAAAAATATTATGAAACATTTTCAATTATCAATAATCAAGAAACTAATTATGTTTAAAATATACAATCCTAAATATCAAATAAGTTTCCATGGCAGCAATGAACAAATTTAAATAATTATGTGCATTATTTATATTCAGGCTATTCTCCTCATTTTTGTTATTATTATAGCCTAATGGATTAAAGCACTGCTGAATTTGGTAACATCGTGAGTGTGAGTTCAATCCCTGGGTCAGGCAGACGACCAATGGCTGAGCTGTACTAAAGATAATAAGAATTAGGCGATATCCCTAGACATGGGCAGTGGAATGAGAACAATCTACCCACGTAGATTAAATAAAGGGTTCTGTCATCTATTAGTCAGGATAAGCTTAAATAAGACTGACTCGGGCTGTTGGTTTGGACATCTCGAAAGCGTTTGACATAACGGTCTTCTTCATAAATAGAAAAGCTATGATATTTCTGGACGAATCTTTGAACTGATTCAGTTTTTCTTATCAAATCATGAAATGAAAATCAGCCTAAACGGCCATTCCTCTAGATCTTTTTGTACTAATGCAGATGTCCACCAAAGATCTATCTTTGAACTTACTTTGTTCTTAAATTTTATCGACGACCATCCTGTTGTTATCAGTTCTTAACTTGATATCTATGCTGATATCGCAACTATTTACCCCTGTCTTAATAGCATGGTCGTTTCAATAAGGTCAAATTGGTAGCTGGTCTAAAAAAAAATAACCTACAGTCTATTGTTAACTGGAGCAAGGAATGGCTTGTGAATATTAACGCCTACAAAACGAAATTTTTCTCTATCACTCAACTGGAAGACTCCTGCTTCCCATCACTATGCCTGATACTAACCTCCATGAAAACGACTCGTTTCGCCTTCTCGGGATAACATTCTCGGATGGCATAAAGTGGAAAGATTATATTAAATCCATTGCTCGGTCTGCTGCTAAAAAAGTTGGTTCACTCAGCCGTGCTAGACAGTTTTTTCTCTCTTGAATCTATCTTGCATATTTATAAATATACTATTTGTCTATGCCCTGAATATTGTTTCCACATATGGCCTGCTATACATCTAGAGATTCTTGATAAAATCCAAAGAATCAGTAATATTATTGGCCCTGACTTGCCCCCTCTGATTCAGTTACTTCCTTACCGCCTTAATGTAGGGTACTTGTGCCTTTGTTATAAATATTTTCATGCTAATTGTTCGAATGAAATCTTCACTATGGTACATAGACTTTATGAATTTAAACGTAGTACTAGATTGGCAGCAAGGTCTCTTCAATTCACAACTGAATTGACTAGAGGCAACTATAAGTTTCTTTTCTCGAACTTCTCGCTTTGTGGAACTCTCTTCTGCTTCAATGCTTTACAGCCAACTTTAATCTTCAAAAATTCAAATGCAATGTCAGTCATTATCTGCAGATCCTTCTTTGCAAAATTTACGGAACACTTTGGTTTGGAAATCATTCTGGAGATAACTAATTCTCAATCAGTTTTCACATCAAGACAGAACTACGACGAGCTTCCACTTTCATCTGCTCGACTAAACCGAAAACAGTCCAAAATTTTACTTGCCTGAGACGTGTCATCTTCTGATTCCAAGACAACCATAAATAGACACCAAACTAGCAAAGGCTAAGAAACTATTAATAACGGTATTTTTTCTTTCTTTTTTTTTTTTTTTTTTTTTTCTACTTCTGCTGTTATTACAAGAACACTTCACTCGATCCGTTCATATGGAATCACCGTATCTTTTCGGGGCGCCTCTCATTTTTGCTGAATGGGCACAAGTTCGCCAAATAGTAAGAAAGTCGATGATCTTCCAACCTCAATGCATGGTCAATATAGCTCAGTATTGTCTCGTTTTTTCTTTGATTTTTTTTTAATAACTTTTCAATGCTGAAAAGCGTTAGTACTGTTTATGATTTTGATGTTTGCTATGAAGTCGATCCACTGCATTTTGATTATATATATATATATATATATATATATATATATATATATATATTATATCAAAAATACCCGTCGCTGACTCGGTTTGGAAGAAGCTGCCAAAATTGTACTGTTTTTTGAAAGATATTCATTAGAGAGTATTGTATATATATATATATAGAGAGAGATAGATAGATAGATAGATAGATAGATAGATAGATAGATAGATAGATAGATTATAAATTAATTGATATATATATTATAAATTAATTGATTTAAAATATGGTTTTAAATTATGGTTTTAAATATTTTAAATCAATTAATTTATAATATTAATGCTCTGTAAATTTACATTGAGCACTATTTTGTAAAAAATAAAAATATCTATAAGAACACCGGATTATATATCTTACTGTTCGTTCTTTATATATATATATATATATATATATATATATATATATATATATATATATATATATATATATATATATATATATAAATGGCAACATTCATGTAGGTGATACAGCTATATCCATCCAGATAACGCAATAGAAAGGACTATCGGTCTTCATGTAGAAGAAAGAGGTCCTTCCTCTAGGCCAATATCATCATGGTTGCACATAAACCTCTGGTCTGTGATCCCTATATTTTGGTCTATATATGAAGCAATCATTACATATATAGCTAAATAAAAGATTGAGGGAAACTATAGACCTATCAATATTACAATATTTAAGTATTTCAACAAACATCAATAATAATAAAAATCGACCATTAGAGTAATGTTTATTTTCAGTATAATATATCCAGTTGCCTGCTTGTTGCATTCTATCGAGTATTCATTCTGAGACTCCTCTCCTTTACTTCTGGAGTTTCAGATTGCCTGGCAGCTGCAGTCCGCTGAGTTTCCATGCTACGTCTCATTTCAATTTCATCTTGAGTTTCACAATGTCTAGCTTCTGCAGTCCGTTGAGCATTTAATGTACGTCTTCTGTCAGTTTCTTCTTGATTTTTAAACTGTCTTGCTGCTGCAGCCTGTTTAGCATCTAATATACGTCTTCTGTCAGCTTTTCCTTGATTTTCAGACTGTCTTGCTGCTGCAGTCCGATGAACATCTAATCTTCGTCTTAGATCCGCTTGTTCTTGATTGTATGACGCTCGTGAAGCTGCATGCCTTTCTGTGTCTTCTCTCCATCTCTTGCTCAGCTGGTCTTCAGTTTCTTCTGCTCTTTCTCTTTTCCTCTGCTGGGATTGCGTAGGTGGTCCAAAACGGAACTTTCTTGGAGGCATTGTAGTAAGGGTGTAGCCTAATTATTATTTGCAATAGTCAGCTGGTAGGAGAGATATCTGAAAGATATACAGCTGTTTAGGTTTGGTCATGATAGGATAAACGATTTTATCAAGAATTCAAATAAATGTAAAGTTGCATAATTAATGAAATTGTAGTTATTGTATAAGTTCAAATGATGCCTACTTAGTGCAAAAGCGACAAAATTTATGGAAAAATTACACTAGGATCCATATTAATTGGATGCGGTATCCATCAAATGTTTGGATGCAAAAAATAAATGAACGTAAAAAGATGGTATTGTTTAAATTTCATTAAATTCATAGAAACAATTTTTTGCGGCGGGGATATGTGCACCCCTGTAACTCCACTTATTTAAATAAGTTAGATAAATATAGTCTATGTCATTAGGTGTCAATAGAGCCTCTTTCAAATTTCATAAGAATCTATCCAATGGTTGTGTTATTTAGATTCGGATTCCCTATAAGTATTTTGGGGGGTTGGCTTCAAAATATATCAAGGTGACTAAAACATATAGCCCTGTGGCAAAAAATTCGTGAATCCCAAAAAAGCTAAAAGTTGTGGGTTTCGGCCCTTTCAATATAGGGGAGTTTAGCAATACTCACATACTCTTGATATTATACAAAAAGACCAAAAGGAGGGGAATAGCCATCATTTCAGGTCATTTATCAAGTTTAAATTCCAAAACAAATCGAAGGGAAAAATATTTGAAACTCTTAGAAACCTCTCCCGAACCACCCTTATCAAAATATTCAATAAAAATACATAAAAATTGCATATGCACATTTCATGCAGGAAATCTAATTCCAAATTTCAATAAAAAATCTGTCAACAAACCACACAATCCAGTGGTTTGGGTTGGTTTGGTTAGGTTTAAAGTTTGGTTTGGTTTGATTTAAATTGTATCAACCTCAATGGGTTATTTAATGCCGACAAAATTTTTATTGCTGGTAATATGTTTTTTCTTCATAAATCTATTTCTGGGACTATTTTTCCTTGATGAAATCTATACACACAAAATTTTTTTCAAAGAATGTATAGCTGTTTTGTATTGGTGGTATATTTTTTTACTAAAAAACAAATAACATTTTCCTTCAAAAATATTGCTCGTAAAAAAAAAATTTTTATTACAACAATTTCAATCAAAAAATCTATTTTTACACAAGTTTGGGTGTTAAAATAGCTATTTGCTCCCCCGACTAAATTACCCTAACAAAGATGCTACCACAATGGGTCAGTGAAAATACCTTTTAACGCCAGCAAAAAATGAAAAACAGGCCCCATAAAATCAAAACCCTCCTAATAATAATGGCCTTGCTGTTGGACGTAAATTATCGTCTAAAATAAATACGCGGATATTGTTTAAAACCATACCGAAAACGAAAAAGTTCATAAATGGGGAAATTCATCCCCTTTGCTACCATCGAAAAATAAAAAACATAGCTCGATAAAAAATAATTTTATATCTAATATCTATGTTCCAAAATTTAATGAATATCTTTAATTAAATTTTCAAACCAAAACAAAACTGTACAACAAATAAACAAATAAATAAATAAATTAATAAAATTTAAAATAAATATAAACAATATATATATATATATATATATATATATATATATATATATATATATTAATACCACATTTATCTTTAATATAAATTTTTATTAAAATAACCTTATAGTGGATACTCGTATTTAAAATAAACAGACTATTTTATTTTATTTTATACTGTGTTTATATATATATATATATATATATATATATATTTATATATATTTTTATTAAAAATATATATATATATATATTTAAAATGAATATATTTTATTTTATTTATATATATATATATATATATATATATATATATATATAAATATTTCTAAATACTAATAAAGAAAATGTGCTCCGGATCAAACGGTGATTTCCCGTACAATGACTGACGCGGGTTCGATCACTGCCGGGAGAGCATTTTCTTTATTACATTCTCGAATGAGGTCGATAAACGTTTTGTTGTTTTTTTTTGTTTTTTTGTTTTGTTTTTTTTAAATAATTTTTCAATACTGAAATGGTAAGCACTGTTGATAATTTTGGTGTTTGTTATGAGAAAGAACAACTTGTATGAAAAATAATATTACTTGAAATCATTGAGAATGTAAAGTTAAACAGAGTCTTCTGTATTCACGATTAACAATCTGGCGATCTTTATTCAACTCCGCGGATCTTTTATCAGTAGAAAAGGACAAAAGAAAAATTTTGGAAACTATGGTTTTGTATTAGTTAAGTGGGCGTAGCTTTTAAATCCTTTTTCAAACTTTCGTTGATCTGAAAATTTTGCAATTAGACTCTCAGATTTTTAGAACATCAATAAATACTTACATAGAAGTTTGATAAAGACAATGTTGAAAATTCCGACTTCACAGATCAGCAAAATTAGTTTGGTTTCCTCTGTGGCCTTTTTACAAGTGTCAGATGGTCAATATGATCAACGCATTTTAAAATAAATATCTAAGTCTCAAAACGCTCATAAAAGTGTAATTATTTCTCGAATAATTTGTCAGATAACAAATGAAAATTCCATACAATTTCTTCTACTTATTTTCTATTGCTACTTTCCCTTTTCTAATTTTGAAAGTGAACCATCTCCTTCTCTCATTTCGCACGTGGCCTAATCCATTCGGGAATAAAATGGCGGGAAACAGAGCATTGCGCCATTAAGAGATCATCAAAAGAAAGCAAACAGGAAGCCATAAGCAGCCATCATAGGGATAACTAACTTAGTTTACAGAATAAGGACAACATCCAACAATCATTCGCTGTCTGCTTACTCCGAATGAAAAGGGCTATTTGGCGCCAAATTGTTTCTATTCATTTTGCTGCTTCTCGAGGAAAAGAGGAATGTGAAACAAGATAACTAAATCACGTCTTTTCTGATTCTGTTTTATTATATATTACCGTCTATTGATTTGGCTTTGCCACATTTTACTCTCTCTCTCTCTCTATCTCTCTCTCTCTCTCTCTCTCTCTCTCTCTCTCTCTCTCTCTCTCTCTCTCTCTCTTCTGTGTGTGTGTGTGTCTATGTGTTTTTTTTTTTTTTATTGCTTAGGGATTTCCTCTCATTTTCATTCTCGCAAACGTTATCTTTCTCTTTTTCACTCTTCTTTTCTCCTCACTTTCTCACTACAATTTCCATGTTCTCAGTCTCAATTTCCTTATACTCTCTCTGTTTCATTTTACTCCCTCTTCTCTCTTTCCTTCCTCATCTCCCCTCTCTCTCTCTCTCTCTTCATCTCTCTCTCTCTATATATAACATATAACACACACACACACATATATATATATATATATATATATATATATATATATATATATATATATATATGTATGTATGTATGTATGTATGTAATGAATTTATCTTTAATCCAAAAAGTGGAACTAGAACAATCTACCCCAGTGGACGAAATAAAAGGGTTCAGTACGAAATTCCAAACACCTGAAGAAAGCCGTAGCGAAAAATGATAATAGATGATAGATAGATAGATAGATAGATATAGATAGATAGATAGATAGATATGAACAGACTGAGATAGATAGATAGATAGATAGATATGAACAGACTGACATAGATAGATAGATAGATAGATAGATAGATAGATGAATGATAGATAGATAGATAGATATGAATATATAGATAGATAGATATCATTTTTACACATGTGCCTGGATATATCTCATTGTTTCCAAAAATATTCCTGGCTACCATGTTAACCCCTGCTACTTGGTTTCCAGTTCACATCCCAAGCGTCTCCTCACAGACTCAGATGATTTTTCTTAGCATTCTTCAAATTCAAACAACTAATATAATACTGTATATATATATATATATATATATATATATATATATATATATATATATATTATATATATGACTTTTCTTAGATGCTATTAAATAATACGTCACCAAACAAACATCCGTGTCTATATCGCTACACCAACGAACCTCGAGCATTGATCCCTGTAGACATCGGTTGTATGAGTTGGCTGACGTGTTGCGCGTCCTATGTAGATAATATTAGACGTTCGAACATTTAACTTGGTTCTAATGATACCCATACGCCCTCTTTTCTTTCACTTTTTTTTTTTATATAACCACCCTCTTTTTCTCCTACCAACCCTTTTGAAATTACGCCGGCTTCAAACAATCCAATTTATATCACTTATATATCATATATCATATTGGCCTCTGTCAAGTTTGATAACAACGATAACTGCGTTTTATTCTTACTGCTTCGGTATCTAAAGCAAGTATAAGATTGTATTTTGCTTAGGCAACCACACTTTTATATGTCAAGAATTCTGACATGCCAGTGACGAGACAACTGGCAATCGGGTTGAATGCCTGGGAAAATAGATCCAGTCCTTTCCCAATGGTATTTAATCGACGTTAAAATAAACAAGCTCAACTCAGTTCACTGATATCATTTTCAGTTCGGGCAACCGTTACACCACCCCACACCTCCATATATCTATGTATGTATGGATGCATGTGTTCATATATATATATATATATATATATATATATATATATATATATATATATATATATAGTATTTGATAACATATAAAAACTCCCTGTTTTCAGCTATGTTTCCCGATTTAGCTTAGTTTTATATTATGCATTTATTTCAAAATTTATGAAATTCTAATATTTGGCGCTGCGAAAGGTAGGTCTCATAAACTTTTAAACACAATGTGTGTGTGTGTGTGTGTGTGTGTGTGTGTGTGTGTGTGTGTGTGTGTGTGTGTGTGTGTGTGTTCTAAAATTCATATGTATGTATGCGTGTGTGTCTGTTTATGTACATGTATGTGTATCTATGTACTCTTAAAGAAGGTCCATCCGTGTGCATGTATGTGTGTGTGTGTGTGCATGTGCATGTGTGTAAAACTGTGTGTATCAGGAATCACTGCGATTAAATGGATTCGA